ATTTTCAATCATATTTAAACATATCAGCTTGTAGGAAGAATTTGTACATTAATATTATTCCTAGGTAGTTATAGAACTTAAGAATTTGTACATTAGTATTATTCCTAGGTAGTTATAGAACTTTCGTCAAAATTAGTATTATGGAGATGTTAGGAACAATATTTTATTGTGGGAAAAATTTGTAACTAATCGGTTATATCTTAATTGGGGTAGCTCGTGGGTCAATAAAGACAGGAAAGTGGTGCCTTGCTTATTCCTCAATTTTGGGTAAATGGTTTAGTGGTGGAAGGGTAGAGTTGTCTGCAACCAATAACATTCTTTATGCTTCAAACTTAATTTTTACATAATTTTCAAAATGAAAATATAAAATAATTTTGTAAATGAATTTCATTATTAATATTCAATAAATGATTTTAGTTTTTACTGTATTAAGCATCAATGCTTTGATTTTGTGTTGAAATCATATGACATGTAGAGTTAATTTTTAAAACTTCAATAATGTGAGAACTTAGAAGATTGTTGTTAAAAACAATTTATTGGCTGCAAACAATCTAACCTTTTAAGGAAAAAAGAGAGAGCATTTGCATTTACACATACGCATAGAGAAATACTTATATGAACTGCATCACTCTCCTCAATTTTAGCTATTGTAACCTGAGGTATTGTTTTCATCCCTGAGTTTTTAGTTAACTAAGTACTATAGTTTTGGTCTTTCTCGTTTAAAATTACCACTGTTTTATTAAGTCAAAGGATTAAAACAGTAGTAATTTAAAACAAGAAGGACCAAACGGTGGACAAAAAGAAGTTAAATGGAGCCATAGGGATGAAAAACTGAACTATCTCCTAGTTACCTGGACGCCGATTTTGTTGAGTTGTCCAAATGTCAGTAAGATAGGAGTTCTCAAAATTTGGGCTTTTCTCATGTCCACCAGGAGAGTCTTCATATAGGTTGTTGCCATTTGAAGTTTGAACCTATCAAAAACTCCTTTTTAAGTCGTATATTATATTACAAAATTATGCTTTTATCTTCAGTTGAAAAGTGCGTTATTCCATTTATCCTGTACTCGAACAAAGGCAGTGGCGGGTAATATTGTGGTGTGGATGTTATTCCATTTATCCTGTATTCTAACAGAGGCAGTGGCGGGCAATATTGTGGTTATGTCCACACCACAAAACCTCATACCTTTCTTTGCCCGTCTCTTAGACCACATCTATTCCACAAAACACCTCCACAGACTCAAACAAATCCACGCACAAACCATTACTAATGGCATTTTCTCCCATAACTTCATTCGCAACAAACTTGTCTCTTCCTACGCTTCTTGTCACCAAATGCAAGAAGCCCATCTCCTCTTCTCTCTCACTAACCATCAACCCACTTTCCTCTTCAACTCTCTCATCCGCGCCTACTCTTCTCTCCAACAATTCTCTCTTTCCCTCTCCATTTTTCGCCAAATGATCCTTTCTCGAAAACCCTTAGACACTTTCACCTTCCCTTCCATCCTCAAATCCTGCGCCGGATTATTAGCTTTAAAACTTGGTAAACAAGTCCATGGAATTGCTCTCGTCAATGGGTATCTCACGAATTTAGCTAACCCGAATGCATTGATAAACATGTACTCGAAGTGCGGTGATTTAGTTAGTGCATATAAAGTGTTCGATGGGATGCCTGAGAGAAATGAGATATCGTGGTCGGCAATGATGGCGGGGTTCGGAATGCATGGGAAATGTGATAAAGTGTTTGAATTGTTTGACAGAATGATGAATGAACAAATGGTGCCGGATGAAGTGACGTTTGTGACGGTGCTGACGGTGTGTAGCCATGGAGGGAAAGTGGAGAAGGGGAGGCAGTATTGGAAGATGATTAAGGAGGGAAGGTTTGGGGTGAGGCCAGTGTTGGAGCATTACACGTGTATGGTGGATATGTTGGGGAGGGTGGGGCTGGTAGAGGAAGCTGAGAAGTTGATAATGGGGATGCATGTGGAGGCGGATGAGGCATTGTGGCGGTCTTTGTTGGCGGCTTGCAGAATTCATGGGAAAGTGGAGGTTGCTCAGAGAGTAGTTCAAAAGATTCAAGGAGGTTGTCTATAGTGTCGTTACGAGTCTTTTGGATACCATAGGACAGTTATTTCATGGAGTAGACTAAGAAAAGGAAAGAAAAATCTCCTTTATTTGTTAGGCGGATTTGTACAAGTAAAAAGTTAGGCACATTTTCATAACTAAATGTAAAAGATAGGGAGTCTTTATGGATCAATTATTGGCATCATGGGGAAATTTAATTTGTTTGATTCCACGATCTTGAATGAGATAAACTTCTACTGAAATTTGAGTACACATCCCTTCAAGAAAACAAGATAATATACATGAAGGCCGAAGCTGAAGTCTAACCTGACACTCTAAAATATACATTTGACAAAAAGTTTAATCATTTTCATAAAGTTCCCGGGCCACAGGTTCTGGAACATAACCATACAATCTTAAATCGAAAGACAGAAGGTCCAGCATTGCATAAATATGTTCCGTCTCTTTATGGGACTTGTCACCAGCCACAAATTCATGAATGCTACTCCCAATCTCAATTGAACTAATCCCCGGTTTCTTCTGTATACCAAGACCCTTCATTGTCCGCCTAATCTTGCTTGCGCCATCCCACCTCCCAATTGCTGCATACATATTTGCAAGGAGCACATAATTGGAATCAACACCAGGATCCAAGTCAACAAGATACTTCATCAACCTCTCAGCTAACATAACATCTCCTCGACTTCTACATGCAGCCAACAATGAGCCAAAAACAACTTCATTTGGCTTCATGGGCATATTTTCTATGACATTCAATGCATCCTCCAATCTCCCTGCTCGACTATAAAGATCTACTAAGCATCCATAATGCTCGATCCCGGGAGAGATTCTATATGCTTTCTGCATAATATCAAAATACTGGAGTCCATTATCAATTAAACCAGCATGGCTACATGCAGTTAGTGCTCCTGTGAAACTGACTGCATCTGGCTTGAATCCTTCTTCCTGCATCAAATTAAAATGCTCCAAAGTTTCCTCTGCAAATCCATTAACAGCTAATCCCACAATGATTGAGTTCCAAGACACCAACGTTCGCTTCTGCATCCCCTGAAAAACTTGACGAGCAAACTCAATACACCCACATCTAGAATACACGTCGATCAACGAATTACTCACCCTGACATTGTCCTTAAAGTCTTGCTTTAGGAAAAAACAGTGCACCCACAAGCCTAAACCAAGAGTACCAATGTCAGCACACGCAGCAAGAACCGCAATAATGGCCACATAATCCAGCTCCACCCCAGACATCTGCATTTCTCGAAAGCACTCCAATGCTTCCTCAACATAACCTCTCTTAACAAGCCCATTAACCAATGCAGTCCACGATACTGTGTCTCTGACGGGCATTTCATCAAACAGCTTAACTGCACGCTCTATATCCCCATTCTTCATGTAACCGTCGATCATCGTATTCCAAGAAAACGAATTCCTCATTCCCATTCCATCGAAAACCATATTAGCCAAATCCATTCTACCGAATTTCGCATACATCTGGACAAGCGCCGTGCCAACTTTCACATTGTTTTTATCCAAGCCAAGTTTACAAACAAGTCCATGTATCAGAAAACCAAAAGATGAACTTTCTGATGGAAAATCAGCACAACCTGAAAGAAGGGACACAAAAGTGATGTGGTTGGGGCTGACCCCAGATAGTCTCATGCGAGAGAACTCTGAAGCAGCTTGGGGTAAGTGGCCGTTGCGGCAGTGACGAGATATAGAGGAGGTCCATTGAACTGTGGGGTTTATGTTGTTGTTGTTGGTTTGTTGGGAGATTTGTTGTGTTTTTGTTGTGAGAGTTTGATTAGGAGAAGTAAAATGGTTTGGGTTTTGGCGCAGAAGAAAGGGTTGAGAGTGAGCGGGAGAGTTCATTCTTCAAAATTGTTATCAAGGGGTTGCTTCAAAAAGCTTGAGAGTTGAGACTGAAATATGAAAATTAAATAAATAAAATGATATTTCCTTAATTTTGAAAATAATAAACTTTAGAAGTAATTTTGAATGCGTTTTGTAAAGTATATTTTTAAAGTTGCTTTCATATAACGATATGTTTGATAAATTGGATTCTTAAATTGTTGTAGTAATTTATTTCTCAAATATTTATAAAATTGATTTTCTTAAAAATTTAATAACCACTAAAAAGAATTTTATATTTAATAAAGTATTACCTAATCATTTGTTAAAAAAATTGAACTAGTCACGAATAGACAATCATTAGTGTGCATCAACATCACAATCAGTTCTATTAGGACCATAGACATCAAACTCTGATGAGTCGTTTAACTACAGAAGGTGGTAAAATGTTTTGTCGTCTTTTGCAGCAAAATGATGCATCACAATCCGATGATTCCACTAGCAATGCTAACACGCTTCAGTGGCAGTCGGCGACCACCACTACTAGCGTCAACTACAGCTACTGCCTACACCAATTTTTATAAAATAAATAAATAAATTATTTAATGAACTAAATTTTTATATAAATTCATGTTGTAAGAATAATATAGTCAAAATGAACTTGAAAAGTAATTTGATGTTTAAAAGCTATCCTTTTATGAATATGATTGTCAAATGTTTTTGAGAAGAAAGGGACCCTCACACACACTCACGTGCCACGGCAATCCCTTAATATTCTCCTGGCCTTTTGTTATTAATAAGTAATATCGATGATGTAATTTCCCATAAATAATTGAGGGTGCAGGTGATTTGTTTTGTTGTGAAGGTTATTACTGATGATGTTAGGTGTGGCTGCAACAGTTGGACTTGGACCACATGATAATAAAAACCACTGGAAAATGCTCAGGAACACTAATATTATACACAATCCCAGGTAAAGCTTTGAAGAAGATAAATAAAATTGTGAATACACATTCATTTTCAGCAATAAGATGTCACTGTAGATCTATCATGTTCAGCCCTTGTGCCATTGCCAATCGGAAACCAAACACTGTTCAACTTTGAGCTGTAATGCAAACTTGAAATTTGGAATTTCTAGAGTCACCATTTGACGTGATGAAATTTTGAAACTGAAATTCCTCCACTATAACTCCTTTTGCTGCAATAGTATTATAATAATCATATATGGTTATAATAATTAGTGATTATGCAAATCTTAATCAAGAAGGCCAATGAATTCCATACAAGAGATACATAATTGAAAACAATAGTGGAAGATAGCAATTTTACAACTGTTAATAAGCACCAACAAAAGGGAAAGGCCCTACATTGTTTAGTGCACCCTCATATCATAGTGTGTGCTTCAACATCTGATAATACGTAATGAATCTTTGTCACTTCCACTTCCTTCTATTGTATTTTTTTCTACAGCCACCAATCCAATCTTAAGCATAAGTGTTGTGCTCTTGTGGTTCAATGGACTCAGATTTTGTTTTGGAAACAATCAACCAGAGAATCAATCATATGAAGTCAATGAAACTATTTAAAATGACACTGATTCTTTTAGGGCAATGAAGAACACACAACATTAAAGTATAGTACACAAAATTTGAAATCGACATCTCTATTTATCTCCTGTTGAATTCAATAACCTATATGAAACACTTGATATAACAACCGCAAAGCATAAAACAAATCTTTTGACATGAATAAGATAGGCAAATAATTGTCGAAAGCCCTGCTTCATTTGCTGTTCTAGACTTACCTTTGATCATCGGCCGTCAGAAGAAGTGAAGGAGTCTGCAAACCCAGCAGGCCTTGCCGGTATACTTCCTTTGCTGTCCTCAAGGCTGGTATAGCTGATTTCTTTGCTTTCTGCTTCCTGCCAAACCTTCAACATCTGGGGAAGTGGTAGACTGTAATCAATTCCGGAGTAACAATCTGATTCATCAATGGTTGGTTTCCACTTCTCAACCAGTTGGGAGAGTACATTGACCACATGACCCATGTCAGGCCGATGGTATGGCTCCCTTGCAGTGCAATGTCCAGCCAGTTCAGCAATGATGGCAATGCTCTCCAAGGTTTCCTCATTTGCTTCAAGAGCTGGATCAATGGCAGCCATAAGTTTCTCTTTGCTTGATTTGATTCGCCAGAACCACTCTGCCAAGTATCGCCTTTCCTCGGAGCGTTCCTCATCAAGTGCTGTCAACCCAGTTAAAAGTTCCATCAAGACAACTCCGTAGCTGAACACATCTACTTTTGTTGTGATCTTCCCCATCACTGAAACCAATGGATATGATTTAGTAGGCTATACAGAACCACCAAATTAAGACTGTAAAAAAGAGTATATAGAAATTAGAAAAAAAAAAAAATCAGAGTTATCTAAACTTCTACGTCCCAAATATTCTATTTATTTTGTCTTTTAGAAAATTAATGCTTACAAACTTCAAGTATGATCCAAAATTAGGCCAAAAGGATGATAAATCAAAAAACACACTGCACAATCATAATTTGCTGAACTAATCATGTCATAATGTATACCTGAATTCTCCTTGGCATAACAATGAAAGTGCAAAACAAGTATGTTTATGCATTGTCAATTAACGAGACTTAATACCAGAAATGAACATATTAACAGCCACTTTTGCACAGTAACAATTTCTACCAGATATGTGGAGCAAAAATACTCCAGAGAAACAGGACACCATCACTCTCAGAGGAAGAACGATGACAACACAAATAAGAATAAACAATCTACTGTTAACTATAATTGTAATTCCTATCAACTTTAATATGTGGCAATGTAACTATTTTAGCTCTTCTTCAGCAAGCAGTGCATAGTTTTAGTATTTCTGTACCTGGTTGAGCAATAGGAAACAAAAGTTACAAACCACAATCTCTTGCATTATATTTCCAATTTGACAGAACAGTATAAACTAAAGGTTTTCCAATAATATATGTACCATCAAAATCAGACCCAATTTTCAACACAATGAAGTTTCAAGACAACGAGGTATCAGCAATTTCAGTACTGAAAACTATCAAAACACCAAAACAGGACTAGAAAAGCCACAACTTGTTACATGTCATTTTAGTCACAACCAAAGAAAAATCTGGGAAAATCACAGACCAAGATTATAACCAAAAAAAAAAAAAAATCCATTATGTGGAACATAATCTGAATCCATCACCAATGCCAACATACAAGACTAACAAGGGTTCTGAAGGAAGAGTTCTTACCAGCATATTCAGGTGCAAGGTATCCAAATGTCCCAGCAAGCCTAGTCACCACAGACTTCTCTCCATCTGGAGCAAGTTTCACCAATCCAAAATCTGAAACTTTTGCCCGAAAGTCATCATCCAAAAGAATGTTAGAAGATTTGAGATCTCGGTGAATAAATGTCTGGCGGGCAAGATTATGAAGATACTCCATTCCTCTAGCAACATCCAGTGCAATGGTAAGCCTCCTCATCCATGACAGAGGCTCCAATTTCAGGTCCTTCCAATGGAATAGATGTCTGCTTAGAGCACCATGAGGCATGTACTCATAGACTAGAAGCCTCTCGCTGCCTTCTATTGAATAACCCAAAAGAGATACCAAATGTCGGTGGCGGACCTTAGAAAGAACACCTATTTCAGCCTGAAATTCGTCCACAGCTTTACCCGTCATCACCCCAGCCTCCATTCTCTTGACTGCAATTTTTGTCCCATCTTCCAGTTCACCCTTATAAACAGTTCCAAATCCACCACGACCAACCTCATTTTCTTGCGCAAAATTCTTGGTCACCTTGCGAAGAACTTGAACAGAAATGACCAGATTCCCAGACTCAATCACATGTGAGTTCTCAGTTGCACCACTATTAGTACTCCCAGAACTAGTTGCAGTTTGGGCAGATAGGCTTCCCATCGTGCTATTTGAAACTGCAATCTTAACCAAATTTTCAGGGTCAGATGGGTCTCTAGGGTGAACCACAATGGAACTAGAAGCCTCCAAAGCCTTCTTCTTCTTCTTACAGCAATATATAGACAAAAGAATCCCCATGAGAACCAAAATCCCAACAGCAGCTATTCCGGCTACAATTAGTAGCTTCAATCTTTTGGAACTTTGAGGTTGTGAATGTACATAGATAGAAGAACTAGATGAGTTAGAGCTTGAGTGTGTAATTGGGGATGGTGGAGTGTTATCAGGCTTGGTTTCGGTTGATGGAGATTGTGCACTTTCGGGGGGCGGGCTACTAACAGGGGAGGGAGGCACATTACTATGGTTACTAGTGCCAACCAACAGAGGATTTCCCTCAATCACAAGCTTCACACCGTCATGAAATTCAGGCAATGGAGGCCCTACATTGTTATCACTTAAATCCAACACTCTCAAAGATTTCAATTCCGTAAAATTCTTAGGAATGGAACCATTTATTCTGTTCCTTCCAAGCCTAATTTCCATCAGTGAATCCAAATTTGCAATAGAAGGACTAAGAGTACCACTAAGATTATGTCTAGGCAAATTAATAATAGAAACCTTTGAATTAGGATTGCAAGTCAATCCCAACCATGGCCCTTCACATGGATCATTACCAGACCATTGAGAAACAAGATTTACAGGGTAATTCATATGGCCAAGAAAATCCAACAATGCATTCACATCTGCGGCACATGCCACACCAGGCTCAGATTGACAAAAGGAATTAGAATCATAAGAAACATTACCAGCCTTAAACTTTGGTATCGGACCCATAAGCAGATTATTGTTCAACACCAAGTTATCCAGCTTCATATTGGCCAAGCTCCCAGGTATTAACCCAACAAGTTGGTTTCTATTCAGATTTAGATCTTTCAACGAAGTTAGAGCTCCAATGTCCTCCGGGATGGTCCCCGTGAACTGGTTTCCATGAAGCCATAACTGTTCCAAAGAAACCATTTTGGCAACAACATCAATTGGACCAGTCATGCCACCATCAGCTTGATCATTTAACCACAAAATCTGCATCAAAGACTGACCAAAATTCGCCGGAATTTCACCAGATAAGCTATTGTAAGACAATTTCAGGGCCATTAGAGATGGCAATGTGCCTAAATATTCAGGCACTGGCCCAACCAAATTGCACTGTATGAAAGAAAGGTTTGTCAACTGAACTGAATTTGCCAAACTATCAGGAATAGACCAACCGATGCTCTTGTTCAAAGGATTATAATCCAAAGCCAAGACACGTAGACTACTAAGTCCATAAAAAAAATCAGATGAAATTGTATCAAATTCATTGAAATCTAAGTAAGCAAACTCCAGTTCTGACAAGCCACTAAAGGTGGGCAATTTACCATTAAACTTGTTTCGTTGGAGGCCTATATTGTAGAGTTTTGAGAGCTGGTTAAAGTTTTGAGGCAGAGAGCCTTTGAGACCAAGATTTTGGACTTGAATTTGAGTAACTCTTCCATTAGAACAAAACACATGAGGCCATGAAGGAGGGCCACAAGGATCATCCCCATCAGCTGGCCATTTCAAGAGCTCTGGATTATCCAAACCATTCTTGAAATCATTCAGAATTTTCAAGTCATTGGGGTCAGTAACACTATAACCCACAGCAAAAAAATACAAAACAAGAACAATGTAGAGGCTTGTATACCACCCCATGGCAAATCTTAACTAAACCCGCATGGATCTTACATAAGCAAAAAGAAGAAAATGTGTAAAACCCAGATAGGATTTAAGTTTTGGAAGTTTGGGAAGAAGACAGGTAAACTGAGACAGACTGTCAATATTTATTATCTCACTTATCTGTTTCTTATATGACAAGATTTCACACTCAAACCCTAAAAAGAAGGGTGGTTGCTGCCATAACTGCCTGTGCTTCTCTCATAACACTGTCACTGCTACACTTGTCACTTTAATTATGTGGGTTTAAAGTGGAGTGTTAATTGACTGTAATGGCCTTGAATTTGGTGGCAGCACCTGAAAGTTACAGAGACATGGTGGTGAAATAGGGAGGGTGACAAGTGGTATTTAGGTTTGGATAGATTCAAAGTAATTGATAAATAGAGGTGGGGTGGCCCCTCAAGTAGATTTTGGGGACTGATGGCGGCTTCTAATTGAAGCAAAGTAGCGCTAATTTCGGTTTTGGTTCTTAGTCTGTCGGTTGACATTCTATTGGTATTCAAATGAATTTGTAAAATGGTATCATCATATCATAGTATTGGTGCGGTACGGTGCGGCAAAATATAATTAATTCCTTTTAATTATTCTGTATTTTTATTAAAGATTAATTTCTAATCCACTGATTAATTTCCTCTTCTCCGCAACTGTCTTGTATCGCAGTCGTGAAATACAAAAAAGTGATGTGAGACTGAGAGTGAAGGAAGCATGAATTTTTTATTGAGTTGGCAAAATGTTAACCCAACAATTTCAGCTTGTTCCATTAAGTGTTGCTGGTTTAATTGCGGCTACTTATGCATAACTACAAGATTAATGCTTTTTTTATTATTTTATACAAACCAATGTAATATACATATATCATTAATATTATGTCAATGCCACTGTGGCTGTCACTGTCACTTATCCCAAAATATGGGAAATACACAGTTATTCAAGATAGTGACGATACTGTAAATCGCACCGTATTGGTAAAACAATATATAAATAACATATAGTTATTACCTTAGTGAATATCTATTGTAGTTATCGTTGACTAAGTAATAAACAAAAAGCAAAGCACAATTAAATTATATGTTGTTAGAAATGCTTAAACAAATTTCTAAAATCAAATTAAAATTGACTACTTTCATAGTGTTTCTTAGCTCAATGACAAACACCTTTTTACATTTTCTAATCTAGGCTCAACATCGTTATAACCCATACTCTCTTTATTTTCTTTTTGACAACTTTTTTAAAATTCATATAGAAAATGATCAATTTAGTCCCTCAACTTCACTTTTTTCAATTTGGTCCTAAAAGTAACATTCGTCCCTACCCCTGAACAGCAATGCAAAACCAAATTGATCAAATAATGACAAACATAAATTTATCCTTCGAATTCCCAGTTTTATTTGTCCGCTAAATACCTTTCTTAAAGGAGCCATACCTACTTATACCTACTTATACCTATATTCAGCGTGTTTAATTAAACAATTCTTTGAGAAGATTAGCCTTTGCAATTAAAAATTAAAAAAAGAAAGCGTTTGGGTCCCATTTGTTTAAACAAGTATGACTAGGTGTACAGCCGAGCCGACCGAGTATCTCGGTACTCGAGCTCGGCTCGTGATGAACAGTAGTGACCTCGAGCTCGAGCCGAGCTTAGTTGAGCTTCAATATTCGTGTTCGGGCTCTAGCTCGCCGTATAAAGTTCACTAGAGCTCGAGCCTAATCGAGCTCAGTACTAAAATACTGTATTTTTTTCTTTCTTCTTTTCACCTATCACCTTATCTTTTTTTTTTCTCTCTCTCTCTCTTTCTCCCCTCCTCTTCTCTTTTTGCCTTATTCTCTTCTCTTTTCTTACTTCTTCAGATCTTCTCCTTTGTCTTTTTTTTTTTTTTTTTTCCCCCATCCTCTCTCTTTCTTCTTCTGCTCCTTCAGATTTTCTCCTTCATATTTTTCTTTCACATTCTAAGCTTGAATGGAACCGAGGATGAAGGAAGGTGAAAGAGAAGATGAATAAGTTGGATTTTTGAAGCCAGAAAAAATCCCAAATGGGTTTTGAGTTTTTGTTTGAGCTTGGAATAGGTTTATCGTTTTTGTCTGTGAATGGGTCATGGGTGTTGTATGTAATTTTGACAACTTAAAAATAAAACTTTTGAAATCTTGCAGATTGGCCCCCAAAGCTAGTTTAAGCTCGCGAGCTACTCGGCTCGTGTATCGTCCCTAAGTATGACATTGAAATATAAAAAGATATATCAATTTTTGTTTAAAACTATATAAAATATACTTTGTGGTATATAATATTCCAACACTTTAGTTTTGGCATCCTAAGCGACTTGGGAGGTTTCAGAGTATTTATAAGAGGGTGTTTGGTTTAGAGAATGTTGAATTACTGGATAGTTAAATTACCTTGAAGATTACTAAGAATCTTTAGGAAAATATATTTGGTTAATTGGTGGGTATGTTATATTAATATATTTGGTTGGGAGGAATAAATTTGTGAGTATGTTATTTAAATTACTGAATTGTCCTCTAATTAAATATTATTATTATATTATTTTTTAATATTGATTATTATTTGGATTATATAACCCCCCTCCATTTAAAAACTTAGCAAAAACAACCCCATAATAAAAGTTTGGAAAATCAACAAAGCACCCCCACCAACCCAGCCACTGCCGACTGCTGGCAACCACTGCAGGCCGTCGGCAATCGACAACCTAATGACGCATGGAAGGCGGGAAATGGCCTCTGTGCGCCGTATAGCCATTTCCGACCAGAGATCTGGCCAAAAATGACCAGACGTGACAGATTTGGTCATCGACGACCAGATCAATGGCCGCTAACGGCCACAAACGTGGCTGTTGACGACTAGATCGATGATGGATCTAGCCTTTGACGGCGAGATTAGATTTAGCCGTCAAAGGCCAGATTTGGCCATTTTCGGCCTTCCATGCGTCGTTCCGGCTGCGGCGATGGTTGCCGCCGACAGGTGAGTGGGGGTGGTGGCTTGGGTGGGCTGCAATTTGTTTTGAATTCAAGTGTAATTTTGTCCAAAAAGTTAATTAATTGGGGTGAAATAGTAAAAGCCATATTCATGTAAATAAATTTAAAAATAAAGGCATTATTGTCCTAAAAATTTATTAATAAGAGATATAATTGTAATAAAAAAAAGATTACACTGGTAATCTTAGAATACCTAAGAAAATGGAGATAATCAGATTACCTCTAATATTACAAATAGTAATTACTATTGGTATTTGAAGATTACTGAAATCTTATATTACTTAACAATCAAACGTGGTAATCAAGTAATATAAGATGACATAACTTTAGTAATCTCATATTACCTCCAACCAAACGCCCCCTAAGAGTAAACGATTTTTTCCCACCCAAGGTTTACCTTATTGACTCTACCCAAAAAGTTTCAAAATAACACTTTACCAGTCACACTTAATATTTTGTTACTATCTAAGGTCAATTCCGATGGCGAAAATTCTCTTTGTCACTACTATTTGAACCTTAGGTCTTCTCTCTAGAAAACCTCTCATACTCCCATCAATACTAAATAATTTTAAAAGTATTAAGTTGAATATGGAAAGACCCATCCCAAACTTGAGCCGTTTGTGGTCCTTGTATTAAGCAACGGATGGTATGAGCAAAGACCGAAAGGCGAAAGTGATTATATAAATAAAGACGTAGAATACAAGCCTCCCTTACGAACTAATTAATTCACATCCCATCTCAACATCTGTTTAGACAAATTCACATGGCTTGAGGCTGAAGAAGGTCCATTTTAAAAGGTATAGGAGCATGAAGCGGGCCAATGACTGAAAAAAGCAGCACCCCCTTTTGGCTGCAAGGTAATGACAACACTAAGTTTTTTACTACAAAAGCTTTAATTTGTCTAAACAATTGAGGACCAAGAGCGAGAAAAGTAGCAACTACTTCAACTTCTTATAGGATAATAACCCCTGAGATTTGTGGGCAACTGCCTTCAGTAGTCTGGAACCACACCTTTGGAATCACTAACAGTAGTATAACTAACTATACCTCCATTAACTTCATTAAATACTACTTAGCAGTGGGACAATCTTAACTGAATCTTATGCCTTCTTCACCAACGCAAATACATATACAACAAACCTCAATAATATTATACAATTATTCCCTAATCAGATTCTTAAGAAACTATAATGTGGTTCTAAATGCAATGTGGGATACATTTCATAAGATACGGTGACAGAATCGATTGCCAGCCGCACCCATATGATACTTTGTTATATTGAATTTAGCCTAATCCTATACCTTCTTCCCTACTCAGATTCTTAAGAACTATATGTGATTGTAAATGCAAAGGTTTACATATCATAAAAAATTGTTGAAGAATTGATCATTTAGCAAATATGCAAAAGTAATTGGTTGATATTATATCTGAAATGCTTTAACAAATATTCATGATAGAGATACTTTGTACTATTGAATTCAGCCTAATCCTATACCTTCTTTCCTCAAGTCTTCAGTCTCTGCTTTGACAGAATCATTGTCACCGGCTGCACTTTTCCTGCAAGCGGGAAATTATATATGGCATGATTTTGAGCAAGAAAATAAAGTTCAGCTCATATTATGACTTAGTGGGTAGGACATTTGATACTTTTGGGAACATTATTTTTTAGAACTTTACAGGACATCAGGCAATTGCAGCAAAACAAGCTATAACCCTAAACCTTAAACCCTAAACCCCTGCAAACCTGAATTGAAGAATGGACTTATAATAAGTGCACCACATAATAGTGTTAATCACTAAGAAGTCTAAACTCAATGTGTTCAGCAAATGACAACTTCCGCATGACAGACCTTTTTATTAGCAAAAGACTCATTTGAGAGAAAGGATCCTAAATATTGATGTTGAACATTCATACATAACTAAACCTTCATATGCATCAAATAGAGGGAATTGCATTTTGGTTGACATCCTAATTTCTAATTTCAGGTGAAAAGAAGAAATAATTCAAACATTGGTCTCTACATCATCCATTAACCATTATAACAATAAATTATGCAAATTGATGGAAAGAAAAAAGGAAGAAAACATAAACCCTTAAACATTATCAAAAGCATACAAGCATGCACCTTTTACTCTGTCCTTTTATCTTTTGACCATGTCAAAACATAACTTTCTCAAAGTACCATACTACAATTACTATAATACATCATTATTACAAAAACTTAACTATAGTGCTAACCTTTTCAGAAGTGGCATGATGCTGGGTGTGTTATGAACATTTGATCTTTTTCCTAGTGATTGCCACCCAATTTTTAGAACTCTCAATCTCTGCTTAACATCCCTCATAGTGCAAAAAAGATAAGTTAGTCTTGTATCGTGTAGAATTATGGCAAAATTCTGTAACTATCAACCATCCTGGTGGAAACAGGCTGAAGTAGGTTGCATTGATGAAATTCAGATTTATTTCCAGTCTGATATCAATTGTTGATTATTCTATTCCATGAAAGGAGGAAACAAGGAGGATTATGCACCTTTGATTAATCACAGGGTCGTGGTGAATTCTTTCTACCAAAACCTGATAATTGTAAAGAAAACTTCAGTATGCTCCTTTTACTCCAACAGCAGCTTTCATCCATTACATAATTCTCACTCCTTTTTCTTTTCCCTTTTAGGAATGATTCTTCACACTCCTTTTCCTTTTCAGCCGAATAATATTCTTATTGAACAAGTCCTTGAACTTTTGATGCGTGAAACCAGGAAAATATAGAGAATTCTTGTGTATTTCTTGATATTATTGATGAACAAATTACATCTATGTATACTTGTTACACTACCCTATAACTGTAAACACAATAAACTAATTTCCTATTTTACAGATTTATTCCTATTTAGCCTTGTACAACTCAACACTCCCCCTCAAGCTGGAGTATATAAATCATATGCACCAAGCTTGCTACAAATAAAACCAATACGAGGACCGTTGAGAGATTTAGTGAGAATATCTGCTAGCTGGTCGTTTGAGATGACATGACTAGTGGTACTACAATCGGACAAAATTTTCTCTCAAATAAAATGACAATCAATTTCTATATATTTAGTCCTTTCGTGAAACACCAGAAGTATGACAGTTTGAGTTTCGCTAGAAAACGGTCACCGGAAGGTACATAGTTTAAGATTTCTGATTTCCTAGCTCTGGTACCATGTGAAACCAGGAAAATAGAGAGAATTCTTGTGTATTTCTTGATATTATTGATGAACAAATTACATCTATATATTCTACACTACTTAATAATTGTAAACACAATAAACTACAACACACTAATTTCCTATTTTACAGATTCATTCCTATTTTTATTATTCATTCCTATTTAGCCTTGTACAACTCAACATGATGCATCAACAAAAGTATCCAGTGATTTCACAATTTCTGAAGGCTTCTTCCAGTACAGAAAATCACACAGCACCTTAACTCTTAATGATGTTTAAGAATATAATGGAGAATAATTTCATATTTATCGGGATGATGCAGACATCCGACAGCCCTACAAAAATCATAGGAATAATAATACCAGTTTAAAGGTTTCTCCTTGAAACCTAACAGCAAAAACCATGTGTAAAAGCTCTTTGAACAAGAATGACATGAACTTCTGTGTTCATTTAGATCAACAGATACACTAATACCTAAATGTTGCTCGATCTTTAAGTCAAATATATGAATTGAGTACTTAGTAACAATGAATATAAAACACCATCAATTAGTATTTCTTACATATACAAAGTATATGAGATGATGAATGTAATCACAATATCAATTNAAAACAAGCTATAACCCTAAACCTTAAACCCTAAACCCCTGCAAACCTGAATTGAAGAATGGACTTATAATAAGTGCACCACATAATAGTGTTAATCACTAAGAAGTCTAAACTCAATGTGTTCAGCAAATGACAACTTCCGCATGACAGACCTTTTTATTAGCAAAAGACTCATTTGAGAGAAAGGATCCTAAATATTGATGCTGAACATTCATACATAAATAAACCTTCATATGCATCAAATAGAGAGAATTGCATTTTGGTTGACATCCTAATTTCTAATGACAGGTGAAAAGAAGAAATAATTCAAACATTGGTCTCTACATCATCCATTAACCATTATAACAATAAATTATGCAAATTAATGGAAAGAAAAAAGGAAGAAAACATAAACCCTTAAACATTATCAAAAGCATACAAGCATGCACCTTTTACTCTGTCCTTTTATCTTTTGACCATGTCAAAACATAACTTTCTCAAAGTACCATACTACAATTACTATAATACATCATTATTACAAAAACTTAACTATAGTGCTAACCTTTTCAGAAGTGGCATGATGCTGGGTGTGTTATGAACATTTGATCTTTTTCCTAGTGATTGCCACCCAATTTTTAGAACTCTCAATCTCTGCTTAACATCCCTCATAGTGCAAAAAAGATAAGTTAGTCTTGTATCGTGTAGAATTATGGCAAAATTCTGTAACTATCAACCATCCTGGTGGAAACAGGCTGAAGTAGGTTGCATTGATGAAATTCAGATTTATTTCCAGTCTGATATCAATTGTTGATTATTCTATTCCATGAAAGGAGGAAACAAGGAGGATTATGCACCTTTGATTAATCACAGGGTCGTGGTGAATTCTTTCTACCAAAACCTGATAATTGTAAAGAAAACTTCAGTATGCTCCTTTTACTCCAACAGTAGCTTTCATCCATTACATAATTCTCACTCCTTTTTCTTTTCCCTTTTAGGAATGATTCTTCACACTCCTTTTCCTTTTCAGCCGAATAATATTCTTATTGAACAAGTCCTTGAACTTTTGATGCGTGAAACCAGGAAAATATAGAGAATTCTTGTGTATTTCTTGATATTATTGATGAACAAATTACATCTATGTATACTTGTTACACTACCCTATAACTGTAAACACAATAAACTAATTTCCTATTTTACAGATTTATTCCTATTTAGCCTTGTACAACTCAACACTCCCCCTCAAGCTGGAGTATATAAATCATATGCACCAAGCTTGCTACAAATAAAACCAATACGAGGACCGTTGAGAGATTTAGTGAGAATATCTGCTAGCTGGTCGTTTGAGATGACATGACTAGTGGTACTACAATCGGACAAAATTTTCTCTCAAATAAAATGACAATCAATTTCTATATATTTAGTCCTTTCGTGAAACACCAGAAGTATGACAGTTTGAGTTTCGCTAGAAAACGGTCACCGGAAGGTACATAGTTTAAGATTTCTGATTTCCTAGCTCTGGTACCATGTGAAACCAGGAAAATAGAGAGAATTCTTGTGTATTTCTTGATATTATTGATGAACAAATTACATCTATATATTCTACACTACTTAATAATTGTAAACACAATAAACTACAACACACTAATTTCCTATTTTACAGATTCATTCCTATTTTTATTATTCATTCCTATTTAGCCTTGTACAACTCAACATGATGCATCAACAAAAGTATCCAGTGATTTCACAATTTCTGAAGGCTTCTTCCAGTACAGAAAATCACACAGCACCTTAACTCTTAATGATGTTTAAGAATATAATGGAGAATAATTTCATATTTATCGGGATGATGCAGACATCCGACAGCCCTACAAAAATCATAGGAATAATAATACCAGTTTAAAGGTTTCTCCTTGAAACCTAACAGCAAAAACCATGTGTAAAAGCTCTTTGAACAAGAATGACATGAACTTCTGTGTTCATTTAGATCAACAGATACACTAATACCTAAATGTTGCTCGATCTTTAAGTCAAATATATGAATTGAGTACTTAGTAACAATGAATATAAAACACCATCAATTAGTATTTCTTACATATACAAAGTATATGAGATGATGAATGTAATCACAATATCAATTGAACCCATACCAAGTATCTAATAGAACAATTTCAGGTAATTTTCTATGTCACAACTCAAAAGATCATGTATATTCAAATGATTCAACTCTTTGAACCAAATTTAGCTTGCTGGATAGATCATTATCTAAAATGTTATTGCTTTTCTAGTACTATCTGTCATGTGATCAGTGGCAGTATCACTTGCATAGGAATAATACTATATATATATACAAGGTGAAGAATGCCAGAGAATTTCAATTAACCATGCCTACAACTTAAAAAATGGAAAAATTCAAGAAAAATTTCCATCTCAACTGATCTTATATATTTGACTGGTTGAACTTTTAAATGCTCAGGCAAGATTCTAAATTACTTGAATAATTGTAGCACTAATCTTACTTATAAAATATAATGTTTATAAAAATAAACTAAAGGCTTTTGAAAATAAAACAAGAGAAAAAGACTAATGATATTTTTCTTTTCATTTGCATCCCTTATCTATACTGATCTCTAAACCCTAAAAACATAAGGAAAACAAATCATAAAAGGAGGAAAAATAATTTCTACTTATAACGATAATCTTACTAACACAAGGTAAACTAAATAAAATAAGATTTGTAAAGTTAACTATGTAAGAAAAGCAAATGATGTAAGATTTCTCCAAAATAAAAAAGGATTCCTGATCTCTTAATGAATTTGTCCAACATCATCCTCCAACTTTGAGTTTTTCTAACAACTTCTACAAAAGTAAGAAACCAAAGCAGTAAAGTAACATTCCATATTAATTTTCACATTAACTCACTTTTCTTTTGTAATGAAGATTAACCTATTCTTCAACATTAAATTACAAACTTCCAACAAGCTCTGCAGAAATTTCCTCCAAATCAAGTTCCCTTCAAATATGGTATGACATCATTTTGGTACCGTTTAACGGATTCAATAACTTTTAAAGAAAAAGCTTCATCCTCAGGGTAACATGCAACAGGATCAGGCAATAGAGGAAGTGGAAGGTCAAGCACACCTTCAAGTGTTGCATGAAGACAATAGGCTGAGTAAGTAACTTGATATCCACCTTCTTGGACAATTAGGAGGCGACCACTGCTGTGCCTGTCTGCCAGGTTATGGATTATCCTTCCAATCTCTCGATAACCATCCATTGTCAAGCATTGCCTTCCATTTGGATCAAACTACAGAACAAGGAGTGTTACTCTTTAAGAAATTACAACTTTGATCAACACTAAAGGTACATTTGTAATCAATTAATAACAAGATGTCTAATATCTATCAGAGGTGAGCTAATTGCATTCACTGATAAAAATTTCGAACTAGTAGTCATGTTAAGGCATGTCGAGTAGATTGTAAGATATATTGAGGGGCTTATATTAATTTTTTTTGAAATTGGATGATGGCTATTCCACGGCATTTGCAGTAGATTATCATTTCTTTCCTAAAATACAATAATATGTAATTCAATATCAAACCTAATTCCTTATCATTAATTAAAAATCACTTAACTATGCTGATTTCTTAAAAGTATTAGCACATTAAACAATTTTACCTGGAAGACTTTATTTGTTGGGACAATTAAAATATTGACAATTCTCATCAAAGAAGAGCTATTTGAGTATGGATCCTTAATGAACATTTGCAACATGCAAACAAAAGAATTCAAAGAATTCTTTGAATTATAAAAAATTTAAATGTTGCACAGAAACTTTCATTAGTCATATGAGAACTCTGTCATATGGTTCTAAACATTGCTTTAGACAGCAGTTTTAACAAATATGATGCCCATCCTATCTGGATGCATTAATTAAACAATTCTTGAGAAGTAGGATTGATACAGTGAAGATGCATAAGTAAATAAATATATATTTTGTTAAATTGTTGCATAATACTTAGGTCTAACTTACCCCAGGTCAATTACATTAAATATCTTGATCTGAAATGATTACAATTTATCCCCATTCTATCCAGATGCATTAATAAAGATTTGTATCCCACCATTCAATGTGTCAGATATTTTATATGTATCTGTGCATAAAATATCTGAAGTTAAAAGAAAAAAATTGCTATATTTAAGAGGAATAGCATATAAACAGGAACCATCCAGGAAGTATCAGAGAATCATCCAAATTATAATATGTGCAAGTGGCTTCAAATCTACCTAAATCGTAATATTCAAAACCCATCTTATTCATGTAAAACCAACTCCTTAGTCTCAATTCACTGGCATTCAAACTTATATTATGATATTTAACACTTCATTGCATTTCACTCAACTCTCAAATAGAGAGAGAGGGGAAAAAAAAAAGAAAGAGGATAACCCAATTTTCATTCGACTCTCTTGCAAATATATTGACAAATAGGTGCAAAAATGAATTTAAAGGGTGCGTCACAGCCATTTTAATAATGTACACGGAGGCTAAGCAAAGGTAATTTAGTATGTTTGGCTGCTCTTCAATACTCCCTAGCACATGTGAGATATCATCTTTCCTATGTTGACATGCTGCTGCTTTATAATTTCAGGTTCTTCTTTCAAAAGTTTGTCATTATTGACCTCCATGTATCATTCTTAAGTCATTTCAAGGGATAGATACAGTTAGCCAGTCACAACTAGAACAACGAAGTCTAATTTTAGTAAACAAACACAATTCAACCTCAAAATCTCAAAATACACTAAAAATAAAGTCAAAAGTTTAAGTGATGAACAAAAGAAACTTACAGCACTTGAATCCTGGCCAGCAACCAAAACTATCATATCGGGCACAAACTTCTGAATAGCCGGGGTAATCAACTTGGTCATGGCATATACGTATCCCTTGTTCCCCGTCCCATTCGGTAAAGGTATATTTAAATTATAGCCAAACCCCTCACCTTCACCAAGCTCATCAATAGATCCATTCTGTGGATGAGAAGGACCCCAAGAGCCATGATTCATATGAAGGGAGATTGTAAGAACTTTATTAGATTGATAGAACCCCTCAGCAGTCCCATTGCCATAATGAACATCAATGTCTATAACGACCACCTTTGCACACCCAGAATCTAAAGCCAACTGAACTGCTAAACCAGCATTATTGAGAAAGCAATATCCATCAGCTTGAGTAGGCTGAGCATGGTGCCCAGGCGGCCTCACCAGTGCATACGCAATTTTTCCATGCCTATCAAGGATATGCTTCATTGCTGATAATGTAGTACCAGCTGCAAGAAGGGCGGCATCCCATGAGCCAGGCTTCAAGAAAGTTCCAGAACACACCATCTTCCCACCAGCTTTATCCGCCTCAATTAGTTCATCTATGTACTCTGGAAAATCATACCCAGTTACCATATCAGAACACCCTTTATTGTAAAACAATCAAATATTCGCAATCTCTTTTTTGCTGTGCTTAAAATGATTGCCAAGAAACAATTAGAAAAAACCAAAAGAGAGAGAGGGGGGGTGGGGTGGTGTGGGGGTGTTGCCTCTAATTCCTAGCCCATTAAATCATTACAAATTTGCAACTTTTTCCTAAAGATAAAAAACATGACCCTTCCCTTTGTGCTGGGTGGTTGAATATAGCCTTTAAAAAACCAAACAATATTACTCAGGGTCACTTAATTATACTTCTTAAATCTAACAAAAAGAACAGGGTTGATTGAGTAAAAGAGGAACCTGGGGCGTGAAAGGAGAGCAATTCAGAAGAGAGAGCAGGTCGTCCGGAGTGCCAAGAGATGTAGGGAGATATGGGGCCTCTTCGGAGAATGGAGAGCATGTTCCTGACTCTGTCCAAGTTCTCAGGATGTTTTTCTAAAACGTCAAGAAAACCAGGGTCCATTCCAGTGTCGAAGACGCCTTTTCCAGTGTCGTGGCTCATCATTCCGTCGTGCCAAAATACATTGATGCATTTTGATGAGGCAGAAGCAGAGGCAGCCATTGTTAGGGTAAATTTCACGGGAAACGGATGTCACCCCCCAGAGACGGTACCACATGAAACACTCGATTTGTTATAATTGACTGCCTTTCAGAAAAGGGGAACTATGTTTGAGGGGAAACTAATTGTTTCGACACTAAGGTTCGGTCTAGAATCTAGATACCGGGCTTCCACGAGATTCTGATAGTGACATTGTCAGGCACTATCATCTTTTTAAACTGGGACTATTATTCCTTACCTCCCATAAGGTTTCATAAATTCTTAGTTACATTCCTGTGTTGTGGTATAAGAAACCATTACGATCTACCTTCACACTGGAATAAAAATTGTCACTTACCTCTCCTCACCTCCTTTTTTTCTAACGGTCAACTGTTAAGTCAAGGGAAATACTTATAATTATAAGGTTTTTTACACAAAAATGGAATCAAAAAATAATTTAAAAATGCTGAAAAATTAAAAAAAATATGGAAAATAAAAAGTAAAATAATATGAAAAATTGAAACAAAAATTTTCAAAAAATCGAAACAAAAAAAATCTGAAATTTGGAAAATCTGAAAAATTATAAAATATAATAATATAAAAATTGAAATACAAAATCTAAAAATTGAAAAATCTGAAAAACGAGATATAAACTAATATAAAAAAAATGAAACAAAAATAAATTCTAAAAAATTGAAATAAAAAATCCGAAAAATCAGAAAAGTTAAAATGTAAACCAATATGAAAAACTGAAATTCAGATAAAATGAAAAGATTGAAAGAAAATCTGACAAAATTGAAAAAAAAAAAAAAAAAAAATTTGACAAATTCTACAAAAAAATCAAGAAAATATAAAAATACAGTAATTTTTTATATTTTAATAAAATAATTTTTATATTTCTATATTTTTAGTCAAGAATATTTGAGGTTATTAACTATTTTGATTTATTAGGAAGATACTAAAAAAATTAATTTGTTAAGATCATATATATAAAACCAAATATATCATTATCCCACAAAGGCAAAATGTTTTTGGCAACTTCAAACATCAATTTCCGTTAGAAAACGGTAGTGAAAGGAGATGAGTGTAATTTATTCAAACTAGATGGCACGCCGCACGTTGCGCGGGTTATTATTATATTGTTTTATTTTATTATCGAATTTTTATATTTTTAGAAATTGTAAAACTATTAGTTTTACAAAAAAATATGTCAATATTGATTATAATATAACATTTTGTTATTGTTTTTTTTTTATTTTTAATCGGGTTTTTATTTTTAAAGATTGTGAGAATCGTTATATGATTGCCATTTAGGATGTCATTAATTGGTCTCCGTGTTTGCTGCTTATTGGTGTTGTAAAATGAGGATGATTCAAATGCATTCAATTAATGTATGCAGTACAGATCTTTCACATTCCTCTTTTAATTTATAAAATGCATGGATGGAAGATTGAAACGGTCAATTTGTAATTCAGCAGGAATTGAACACTATATACTTTTATTTAATTATGTATTGATAACAGAGGGAAAGGAAAAACTATATACATAGTGTTTTCTAATTATTTTGCTGTCTTATCTGTATCAACCTCTTAGCAGCAACTAAAAACTCACGTCGAGTTAAATCAGAGATATATCATGGTTGAACTCTTATCTTAATAGACCAGAATAATCTTTCAATTTTTGGGCGGCATCGTCGAGATCATCCATGCTAGTGTTAACATATTTGAGAATTTCTTTGATCTCATTTTGTGGTTGGAATGATGTGCTTTATCTGTAAATCATGCACACATATTAGAATAGATATATGATTAAATATAAGATATACGGTTCAATGTTTATTACCGTGGTGTGTTATTCTTGATGCTTTTGTCATTGCGAATAAAAGTTTTTAAAGTAGAACAAATTAGTATTGTGTAATTTTAATTGTATTTTGTTATGTTTATATAGGAACAACAAAATGCGAAAAGGCAGAATAGCAAGAGACTGTTTCTCGTAATAGTTACATATTGAATATATTAGTGCTAGTTCCACTAAATGTTTTGATAATTGAAGGTTGATGAATTATCATGTTCAGATTAAGGTACATATGTAGAATATCAAAGTTAAGAGATTATGATAAATAGGTAGATTTGGTGAATATATTTAAAATATTATTTTGAGAATTATTGCTGGTAATTGAAACCATGAAGTCAAAAATTATCTGAATTTGCAGTTGAAATATAAATAGGTCGAATTTGAACAGTTATTTTTTGCAATTAGACATAATTGTTGAAGGATGTTATTATGATGGTTGATATAATGAGCACTTGAAATGAAAAGGTAGCAAAAACATTTGGGTTTCCAAGAATTTTGAATCATACTTTTTCTTTTTTTTTTTTAACGTGAAAGTCCAAAAAAAAATTATTTTTCATTTTTTTATTTTAATTAAGTTTCTTTAAGTCATATAACTATACAATTAAAAAAATTATTGGAAACATTAATCAGTTGTGTTTGGGTATTCATTTTTGTTAGTATAACATTTAATAATTATTATACGTTAACTGTAGAATAAACAATATTTATATTAGCTTCTAGTATCATTATTCAGTGGGAACAATATACTGTGAATCTTTTATCGATTTTATTGATAATAGAACTGTTTATATATATAGTTCTATTCTTTTCTTTGAGGAATACCAAGTTCTTTTTCTTTGGCAATAATCAAGAATTCACGTTTCCGTAAATCGAATATTACATGCATGGTTGAGCCAATTATTTCTAACAAAGCATTCATTATATCTCTGTTCATCACTCTGGTAGTGTTGAGTTTGTCCAGCGTGACTTTAAGGTTTTATAGAATACCTTCTAGTTCAGGCGAACCATCTGACGTTGCTGCTTGACCTGCTAAAAATAAAAAAATGAACATGTAAAAGTAGATATGTAGAAGTAATATAAGAGTAATCAGTTGATGTTATTTACAACACGCTTCTGTTTGTTTGGATTTTGGATTGACAATAGTTGGTCTTTTGTCTTCCATTTGTTAATGGTATCTTGTATGAAATGAAAGAAAATTTTGAAGGTGTATGGATTGTTGAATTCTCTACTCTTATATAGCTTTAGATGTCATTAAGTAATATTATATGATAGTTAATGATTACAACAACTGTTCATGTTATGTTCAATGTAATTGGATTATTGTTAATTAATATGACTTTTGATATTTTTTAGTAAGTGTTTGATGTTATTGGTTATGGTTATTTTGACTTAAATGTTTTATTGTTATTGGATGAGTTTAAAATTTTTAGATTTATATTAAATGTTAAATGATAATACGTTTTATAAAAAGCATTTTTCGTTATTATGTTTGATATTTTTGTTTAATTGAATGTGAAGGGGTAAAGATATATTAATATTAATAATAATTAATTGAATGTGAAGGGGTACAAAAATATTAATATTAATTAATAATAATAATTAATATACATGAATGATCGTTGAATATTAATGGATTAATAAAGTGTATTATTGAATTTCATGAATGTGAAAAGATATGTTGTATCTTTATCAAATTAAAAAAGGAATGTGAAACATCTCAAATTAAAAGAGGAATATGAAAGATTTGTATTGAATACATTAATTGCATGCATGTGAATAATTTCTATTATAGCAATCTCTTAATATTCATGGAATCAATAATACACAAGCGAATCATTAGTAATTTATCAAATTAAAAGAGAAAAGTGAAAGATCTCAAATTAAAAGAGGAATGTGAAATATTTGTATTGAATACATTAACTGAATGCATATGAATAATCCCCATTATAGCAATCCCAATAAACAACAAACACGTGGACCAATTAACAACATCCTATATGGCGATCATATATCAATCCTACGTGGCATCAGAAGAAGTAGTCTGCTTCAGCATTATATAAATATATAGATGTTAAGAGAGGTCTTTAATGGTTTTTTATACCGCAGGGGTGTAAAATATATGGAACCCTAAGGAGAAGTAAGTGATAATACTCCTTTATTCTGTAAAATAAAATATCAAAATGATAAAAGTAAGAAATATCCCTATCCTATCAATTATTTGAAAACCCGACCCGTTGTGAGACCCGACAAGATGACCGGACCACGCATCGATTGGTCCAACTAATTAGATCGGCCGATTGGACTGATTACGTCAGCAATAAGAATATTTTTAAAGTTGCAAATTAGTCTCTTAAATTTTAATATATTAAAAATACCCCTAAAAATTGAATTAGTCCTTGAAATTTTAATTTATTTCAAAATTCCTAAAAGAACATTAGTCCCTAAAGTATTGAAATATTCCAAAAACACCCCTAAAAAAATCACTAATTAGTTCCTACAAGTTTGAAATATAGTAGAAACTCCCTTGGAACCTAGACCAAACCGGAGAGGTTGTCGTGTCCTGATTAGAACGGTCAATTCGATCTGGGTTTTAAAATAATGATCTTATTTAGACCAGGCAAAACGGGTACCTTACCTGTGGGTGTGCTCGTCCCTGGGTAACTTTTGTGGTTACAAGTTAATATATTAGGACCCATAGGAAAAGTACCCGTACTCAGCTTGCCAGTTATTTTTACGGGGGGACAGGGCGACAGCTGGAGATACCCACACAAAATTGAAAAAAATTGAAACAAAAAAAATGTGATTATAATTAGGCATTAGGGATTTAGGGTCTCATTCTATCTTTCATTCTCAAGAATCTCAACTCTTTATATTCACAATTCATAACACACACACGCACACACATATAAGAAAAGACAAATTAATTTTTTAAAAGAAAAACTAAAACATGAAAGGATAAAGCAACAATTAGAAACTCCAAAAATTCAAGAAATTATTAAAAATATAGAAAAACGATTTGCGCATGATATATGCTTGACAATTCCAAATGCCTTTTGGAATAGAAAACAACATGTAATTTGTCTTCCCTAAATCAAGAATTTTGATGAAAAAAATATACCAACAAAAGCTAGACCCATACAAATGAATAAGGAATTATTTGAACACTGTCATAAAGAAATCAAAGATTTACAAGATAAAAAATTAATTAGACCCAGTAAATCTCCATGGAGCTGTTCTGTTTTTTATGTCAATAATGTAGCAGAAAAAGAAAGAGGAGTCCCAAGATTAGTAATCAATTATAAGCCATTAAATAAAGTATTACAATGGATTAGATATCCAATACCTAACAAAAAAGATTTAATTAATAGATTATATAATGCTACAATATTTTCAAAATTTGATATAAAGTCAGGATTTTGGCAAGTTGAAATAGATGAATCAGATAG